GCCCGCACAACCCCTGCAGTCCAACAGCTGGAGCGCCCGCCTTGGATTCCCCTCCTTACTGAGAAGGGATCTCTGCGTTTCTGTATAAAACACATGCAAGCCAGCCTTTTATTTTTGATGAATAGACTCTTAATATTTTGCTCAGTAAAGATTTATCTTAAAATTATCAATACTAAGACTCAATACTTTAAATATCGCATGCTCATTCAGCAACCAGGGAGAAAAATGATACTTGACTTTGGATTTGAATCACAGTGAAAAATGATAATAAAATAAAACTCAATTGATATATTTCAGAATTCTGATGTCTTTGGACTGTTGTTTCTGTTTAATTAAAAATATGTAATATTTTATTTCTCTTATGTACACTTAAAATATCATTCCTGAAACAGTTAAAAATACTCAAGTGGAGACTGAAAAGGGGATCCAGTGCATTCAAACCCATTTTCTTCTTAAAAAAATGCTTCCTTTGAATTAGCCATTTAAAAATTATACAATGCAATCTGACAGAACTTGGTGAGCCACAAGGCAGACAGGACAAACTTGGGATTGTCATATGCACCTCAGCAGAGTTTGAACAGTGCAATGGAACCACATTCTAAACATAAATGCACACAATACATAGATAAAAAATGTACAAATCTAAAATCCATCTGTTCTTTCAAAGTTATCATCTACTTGAGCACTGCAGTATTTCCACTGTATGCACAGAATTACATACCAACATATCTGGTAGATTGGTAGATTTATGTACAAAATTGAAAACTGGTAGATTTATGTACAAAACTGGTAGATTTATGTACAAAATTGAGCACAAACAGTAGCAGTCAGGAAGGGAGGAATAGTCTGGACACCATGAGTTACACTGTTGTAAGGCACTTGGGTTTCCATTCTGCGATAAAAAAGAGAAACTGAACACATCAGAGAAACACCTGCTTACATAACCAGAGTCCTCCAAATACCAGACAGCAGATTAGGTCTCAGAATCTGCAAAGTCATTATTATTCTAAACTGTATTTGTGAAAATAACAGGTCTTATACATGAATTATAGCAGAGCTACTCCTTTCCAATAAAACAGAGCCATCCAGAACATAATCCAGCCCCAGATTTAAAAATAGCATTTAATGCAGCTACACAGAATTCTAGCAGGAAAGGCATTCATATCAAACATAGCCCGCAAGCTTGCAAAACAGAAGGAAACACTGCCAGCGTTAGAAAGACACTGTGAGTCACTGTTTGTCATGGAACTTTCACAGGCACTCTCTCTGGTTCAGAAATGCTCTTCCAAAACACAAGCTACCCAAAAAGGCACTGAGACAGGAAGGAAAGCAGCAGCACTAGCACCGACTACTGGGGCTCATCTGAACTTTGCTTGTTGACAACTGCAATGAAATTGTTTACATTACGTGCTCTTAAGACGTAAGAGAAAACACTCCTTTTGGCAGTAAACTCTTGTATTTGTCACAGAAATCCTGCACTTGGCCCCACACCAGGAATCAGTCTCGGGACTTTACCCCTTTAAAGGGAGGGAGGGGAAATGCCAGGTCACGCACACGTAAGGGAAAGTCCCTGGTATTTTCCACTCCAAACACTGCTTCTAGCTGAGTTTTTGCAGCAACCAAGGTTGAATAGCACGAGGCATGCTTCAGAAACAGACTTTGGAGAAAGAAACAGAGAAAGGAGAAAGAGAACCAATCTCTTTGCTCTCATGGCAGGACTTGAGGCTTGAAGCTGAGTGGGGGGATTTAGGTTAGATCAGGAAAAAGCTCCTCACCCAGAGGGTGGCTGGGCACTGAACAGCCTCCCCAGGGAAGTGGGCACAGCCCCAAGCCTGACTGAACTCGAGAAGTATTTGGACAATGCTCTCAGGCATGCGATGGCAATTGAAGCGTGGGGGGCCAGGAGTTGAACGGGATGATCCTTGTGGGTCCCTTCCAACTCCATGAAGCAATTCTCTATGAAATAAAGATTACAATATATTTATATCCCCACACCAGCACCTATAAAGTGGAAACAACATATGCAATCAAGGATATACCTAATGAAAAGAAGGCAAGTTCTTCAAGGAACATGTTCACACATGTACACATGCCCCCCAGGCAGTGTGAAGGAGCTCATGATTATTCTCTTACTATTTATTAAAATTATACCAACTATAGTCAGTGAAACAGGATTTAAGAACCTGCCTAAGTTTTTATGGGGTTAGAACTCAGAGATTACATAACACTTCACAGGTAAGAACTAGTTCTTGGCAAACATGTGCTGGTCAGAAGGACTCTGCCCATCTGAATAGCAAATCTCCTACTCGCTTATACAGAAAAAAGAATAATTTAGATTTGTCTATTTGGATGCAGAAACATTAAGGGCCTCTCTTCATCACCACCTGTATTTTTGAGAAGCTGTAACTACTGCTCATAAAATATTTTGTTCTTGCTGCAATTCTCTTTCAGGTTGCTTGTGTTCAGGGAAGAGCAAGACTGCCTTCTGTTTCTGACTTCACAAAACGTGAAAGGGCCATGCAAAGAAATCTTTCAAACAGTCTTTCAAAAGCCCCAATTGCTCAAGTATATTTCAGTTCTTTTGCACATAAACAAAGACTGACTTCAGACCCCATGGAACTGGAGAGATAGCCACTAATGCTTCAGGGTAAGGCTCAATACACCAGAAGTTGAATGTGGGCTCTGGAGCCCAAGTTGTCTTTACAGCCTAATTTGATTTTACTCACTTTGAACACTTGACACCAGAGACTGGTTAAAAGGAAGGACTTAAGTGTGTACAGAGATATAGACAACCTTAACTTTGCTCTGCTCTAGAAAGTGGTCCTGTTGGTCAGCTTTTATAAATTATCTTCCTTTTCGCCCCTTACTTTTTGGGATTAATCCCAGAACAGATCTAAAGGGGTGGAGCTGACTACAGCTTGTAGGTCGGCACAAAAAAGCCATTTCTATACAGACAGTGTCTCATTGTGTTAACATCACACCATTCACACTTAGAACAGACAAGGAATCAGTGCAATTGTTAAAGATATTTAAACTATCCTGAAAGAACGCTAATAGTCAAGATAATTTCCAATTTAAAAACAAGTGTAGATTTCAGATCTTTTAAAGAATTCAAAACACCTTCTCCCGATGAGAGCTGTGAACTCAAACCTTCTCTTCTAACCGCCCCGCACCGCACTCCCAGCCTGAAGGAGCAAATGGATTTCCTTGGATTTTCACGCCCTTCGCGGGCTCCTCACGGACCCACGGCCGCCACCTGCTGGCAGCTGCTCCCACGCGCGGGTCTCCAAACGACGGGAATTCTGCCTTCCAGGAAAAGGGTTCTGCAAAAAGTACTAACACTGCTCAAAAGGAAGTACTGCAACTGCTTTAACAAGCAATTCCAGTGAAGCAGAAGACTTTTTTTTCCCCATAGAAAATATTACTAAAAATCTGTTGTAGCAGCAGTTTTTAATTTACCAAAACCTGGCATCTATTAGCAACAGAACATACACAAAAATATCTTTGTTTATACAAATAAAATTAGGTATTTAATATTCACAAAGTAACATAAAAGAGCGACATTTTTCTTCACATTGATAATTGTTAGTCAGAGCAGTTGTGATATAAAGCTGTGGAAGCATTCAGTCAAGCACCATGGCAGATAGTGCATTAAGATCCCTCATGAATGGATGATTAGATAGTATTTGATCAATCTTCTGCCTTTGATCATAGTCAGGAAAAATTCTGATCAGGGCTTCTCTTAGCTGGGCTGTTTCTGAGGGAGATCTCTGTGGGGGAATTGCTGGACAAGGCTCTGTGTTTTCTTCCCATGGAAGCAATGGGGATGAACGATCATCATGCACTCTGCCTCCAGGCTGTTGACTGCTACTGCTCACTCTGGGGAGGAAAGAGGGTGTCTCAGAATAATATTGTCCACTGCTCTGTAAAGCCTTGTGTGTTGACCAGGAATCTCTGTGCAACAAAATAAAAATTTTAATTAATGAAGCTAAAGGATATTCTAGCTGCAGTTCTCTCTGTACACGAGAGAGAGAAAAGACAAATGTGTATAACTTAAACATCCCCACTGCTCAGCCAGTTACTGACTGGAATCAAATGACAAGCATTCTTTCAAAGTGAAACAAAACAGGGTATAACAGTTCTCAATATGAATCCAGCACAATTAACATTCATATCACCCAGGAATAGCCTCAGTATGCTGTGAGTCCTTTACTTGTCAGATTACAGAAAATTTTATGAAGGTATAGATAAAAAGATAAATTGAATACATGTACACTGACATGGAGCATGTGAAAATGCTGACAGACCAGTTCCAAGACTGCTTCACAAGACAATTCCTCATGTACTTTTGCTCTGGACTGAGCCATGCTCATATTTAGATCAAGGCCTTGTTTCCCTTGTATGGTATCCTTAACAGGGCAATGAAGTTGTTTTAGCAGTCTCAGGACTTGAATACTCTTAATTATTGCAATTTTATTTCAAACTTGAAAAAGTAATGCTAATCTATGCACTGCTAGCACTACAAAATATAAAGGTCAGTCTACTTCAGATGCCAGCAGATACCAGAGAAATGTGAAGTGGAACTCAATGTTACAGTCTAGTTTCCTACCACCAAGGGAAACAGTACCTAAATTACAGAGCTCTATTTTAAAAACATTTGGGTTATGACACCTCTAGTTACTCAGTGTGGAAAGGTTTTCTAATTGCTGAAGATTCTGTCAGTTTCTGATGCAGTTCCTGGTGCCATTTATGCTTTCTGCATCATTTAAATCGTGTAGAAAAGTCACAAGGAAGGAATAAAATTAACTCTTTTTTACTGGCAGCTTTTCTCTGCTCTTCCTGGTCCCCCCCCACCAGCCCAACCCCAAAACAAGCACTCAAACCTAGTTCCAGTTCCAAATTTACAGATATGAAACCAAGCTTTTCTGTGGTCTTTTCAAAAGACTCCATTTCTACAATCATCACACTCACCTACCTCAGAACACTCTGTTTTCATTTTATTTCTCTCAGACACAGGCAGGTAAAGCACAGTGTTCTTCTCAAAGGTTTTGTACAAGAGCTTGAACACTCAGCATTTCCTTCTGGAGTCCTAGCACTGCACTCGCTTTTTTAATGTGAATACACTTATTTTCAAATCAGCTTGTAATCTATGGTATAACTTTCCTCACATGTTCACAATAGATGAGATTCTTGCTTATTCTTTGTATTAATCCTTAAGAACAGCTTGCCTTTTCTATTGACAATTTTAAAGTTACCTCACTTGTTTTTAAAAGCCCTCTCACTACGCCTCAGAATTCTTAGCACTTCTAATTCCCAAACTGGTGAAAGAACAGAATACTATTTTCTTTTGCTAAAGAGCAAACTAATCCTCAAATCTTGGCAGTTCATGCAAAGCAAATTCATAGTTAAATACGTGCACATTTAAAAAGTACATTAGTCGTAAACGAACAATTTATGTTCATTAACAGTTATAATTATTACTCAAAGATTTAATAACAATGCCACAAAAATTGTTTTGACAACAGCAAGGTACCCTCAGCCTTGAGGTGAAATGTCTCCCAATAGCAGAAAACCTGAGTGTTTGTAGCACCTATTGTCCCACTACCAAGAAGTTTCCAACCAAGGTGTGGTAGATAACATCAGAGTAATTAACACCGCACACCCACCACTGGCACCTCTGGGGGCTGTTAACACACCCGTGCATGAAAGCCACCAGAGACAAATCTCAGAAGAAGCTTTTGTCATACTTATCTCAGTTCTCAGAGAGCTCTCAGAGGCAAATGTCACCAGCAGTTTCTGAAGGAACTGAAGTAACAGGAAAAATGTGTTTTTTGTTTTTTTTTTTTTTTGTTAAACTGCTACATGCTACAGTGTTCCTGCTTAACTTGACTGTGCTCTACAGGTGTGTGAGTGAAGCAGGAGAACAGCTTATTTCAAATGTGAAATAATTGTGTCAAACAAAAGTGAAAACAGTGTTTATACCTAGAATAGCCTTCACTTCGAAGGAAGTCATCTAATCTGGGTCCGTTTCTTCCCAAAGGATCATCAGGAACCATAAATATGTCACCAGCAAAAGTGTACTGGAGCAACCTGCAAGAGAGTTCTTTTAAATAACAAGGTATTTCACCCTTGTTGTCCTTCACCTTTGTAGCACAGGATGAATTTCCTTAGAGCAGACACCACATGAGGAGTCCCTAAAGACTAATTAGTAAACCCACCTAAGACACAACCAGCATTCCCTGTCAAAATAATTCCATGGGAGCTGTGAACTCTCCCTATTACACTGCAGAACACAGCTTTCCCCCCCTTTTTTTTTTTTTACAGCAACTGTTTTATGACTGAAGATTTGCAACAAGACTATGGTGGAATTTTTCAGGTGATCAGAAATTTTTGGTTGTTCTAGCTCCTTTTCCTTGCAAGGATCTTCAGTCATGTAGCTGAAATGCCTATGTTGGCAGAAAGCCACACAACTAGCAAATATAGCATTAAATGCTTACAGTTAAGACACAAAACTTGTTTTCTGGAATCACTTTGGAACAGGTAGAAATCTGTATTAAAAAAACCAAACAAATCGAGTTCAAGTGAAATTTGTCTGTAAGGAGAAGATTTGGTACAGTGGAATTTCCCCAGAAGTAAAACTAATAGTAGATGTTAACATAAGCTCTTAAAAAACCACAGACTCAAGATGCCACATCGAGTATTCTTGCTAAAGTTCTGTGGAAGAACAGAACCTGACTTGGATAGAATTCACTCAAGAAATGATGTAAATGCCTACATGATTAGCCAGCATCAACTCCATGGTCTCACAGCCATACTGTGAGAATCCAGGACAAGTTTTTAGTTCCTTATTTCATTAGAGCTATACTGACCCCAGCCACTGTAACAGATGTACCTTCAGAAAATGTCAGGGACACTGAGGGATTAGTGGGGAATTTTACTAACAGATCACACCTCAGCAGTAAAATAACCTGATTTAACTGAAACTGGAAAAAAAAATCCCAAACACCCAAACCCAACAAACAAGAAGAAACAAGCAGAAACGAGTCCACAAGATGAAGCAGGGATATTTGATAACTAAGTGAACTTATCTGAACCCAAAGAAAAACACTTGCAAGGAAATGGCTACATGGATATGCTACAAGTGTTAATTTTGTCTAGCTATGCCAGTCTGTCCCACTTGAGTAAAGAGTGACTGATTCTGAATAATTAAAAGTGACACTACATCCTCATCAGCTATCATGTCTCCTTGAAAAAAATGAGCTTTCAGACAAGAGAGGCTGTGAAAGGGGACTGCTCAAACAAGATCCAACACTGACCTTCAGAAGTGACACACGTGCTGTTACACGAAGCTACTGCTTGTGAGAGCAATTAACACTCATACGTGACAGAATACATGAATAACAAGGATATTGGACTACTCAGCACATGACTGTAAGGCCATGAATCACCACAGTGAGTCACAGAGTACTTTATTTGGATCTACCAGAATTGCATGACAGATTAATGACAGATAGCAAAATCCCACATGTAGGTAGAATGCCTACAACTGCAAGGACAGACATCCTTTTAAGACTTCACAGAAATTCAATAATTACCTTTTTTGAATAATTTCTCTCCAGGCAAATGATTCTGTCACAAATTCTCTGAAGTTATCATTAGTCACAATAACACCTCCAGTTTTAGCAGCAAGGTGTAACAAAAATCTGTAAAATTAATTTCAAAGATCACTAAGATAGCTTGCTTTGCTGAAAACAATCCAAAGGCTTAAAAAAACTAAACATTTCATCATCCCAAAGTAATCTACTTGCATGAAAACAAGCACCTTCATTACCAGGAAATGACTGTTTTTGCCAGCCTTAAACTTACAGCAATGTTTTGGGTAGCATGCACTTATTTAGTGCAGCAGAGTTTTCATGGGATGTTTTCTTCCCCATTAAAAAACCAAACCAAACAAACCCACACAAACAAAAGCCCCCAAACCCCATGATCTAAATATCTGCACAGGTAAATGGCATGCTTTATGCAGTAAAGTATTTATTAAACAATCCAACACAAACTCATTGTCATACTTTTTTTTGCTTAGCATTAACGACTGTGTTCTGCAAGTCAGTGTTCTGCATGTTAGTTGTTTGCTCTGTCAACCTCTTAAAAATCCTTCTGTTAAACTATGACAAAGCAACTACTGATTCATTAAGAAAAAAATGTTTGCTTTCTTTTATAATGTCTCTGAAAATACATTTTTTGCCACTAGAATCAATTTTATCCACAAGATAATGGATGGTGTCCTTTAGAAGGAAAGTGCATGCTTTTAACAAAAGTGCAAATATGTTATCATACCACTTATTTCCACAGTAATTTCAACTGCACTGCCAGAGCATTTCTTATGAAAGGCTGGGTATATATAAAACATTAATGAAGTACTAGGAAACTGCCACAGACTGCTAAAGCTTACTGTGTCTTGTTCACTGACAGATGATCCCCACATTTTAAAGTTGCTCTTTGGTGGTCAGATTAACTTGGAGGTTCACTGGCTTATGCATTGTTACAAATACACTGCTCCAAACACACAGCAAGGTCTGTGCACCAATGTGGCATCAAGAAGAAAATGGAGCTAAATGCTCTCTGATCAGCAGCTGATTTATGCCCCAAGAATAAAGGGCAGTTCAGGGATAGAATGATGACCAGGAAAGCATAAAAACATTACTGGAGGATTAATTTCTTCAGATAGCCTTTTTTTTTTTAATTGCCATGAAAATTTGTAGTTCTCCATGACTTTCTGAATACATAATAGTGTTTCCTACAACAGTGAAATAATGCAACAGATGTAAAATTCAGTCTTAAGTTGGATGCTTAGCTCTGTCTAGAAAGGTTGCAGAACAAGCTAACAGAACTGCTCATGAAATATTGAGCTCTTACAACCATTAGTCAGATGTTCAAAAAGACTTTAAAACTACACATATTCTGTACCTGTCATCATGAGCAGCAATTCTTGCTCCTAAAACCATCCTTGCAGGGGTTAAAGACAATATTCCAACATCCTCGAGCTGCGTTAAGAAATTCTGCTCTGTTAAAACATGATTTGACAATTAGTTTGAGATAAAATTACCAGAGAGAAGATGGGCTATTCTTGCACCAATTAAGCTAGAGAAATGTCATTGATAGGTGAAGAATTGCTCATATAAAAATGGAGAAAAGGGAGGTCAAAACTAGAAATTAAAGAGCAAACAAAAACCAACCCAAAAAGGTCTCCACTGATGGCACACCTGGTAGCCTAAAGAGCATTTCAGGATCTCTCACACTGGGTATGCAAATCCAATTATTCACGCTGAGCAGCCAGATTGCTCCTGCTCAACATTTGATGAATCATTTCTTCTCCATTTATTCTTCACAGAAGTCCCAAAGAAAAAGTTACAGTCTGCTTTAATTCAGGAAACATTAGGAAATGTCCCTCACCTGTAATGGAAGGGTCACGTCTTGTTCTCCACTGTGGAACAAACACAGTAATATTTCGGTGGCCACGTTTCCAAAAGTAGTCAACAGCTATTGCAATTCCCCGACAGGAGAAGAATTTCCTCAGACCATGACTGAGAGTGAAACAAAAAGAAGGGAGATTAAATTCACTAGGGTTTTACTACCAGGAAAACAAAGAAAATGGAACAAAACCTTGCAAAGTGAAGCTGAAAGTCTCACACAGAGCCTCAGGAAAAGAAAAGGCAGATGGTGTTAAAGAGAAGGAATGTTCTAAATGGAAAGAGCTCTTCAGCAGAAGATATCACATACATCACTTTGCAACTTCATAGCTCAGTGTCCTTTCAGTTTCCTGGGCACAACAACAATGGAGTAATCAGAAGCAGTTTTAGCTTTAAAAAAGAGGCCCATAGTGATGGTTTCTGAGCTCTATTGAGTATAGATTAAAACGATAATAATCCAATATTGTAGTAGTTTCAAATACAGTCCTACTACAAAATAGAACACCTTTGGTTCGACTGATTACCAAGGATTGCACCTGAACAGCTCTCTGGAAACCACTAGGGCCTCCTCTCTCTCTTCATTTCAACAGTCTGAACAATTGCTCTGAAGCAAAATAATGAAATTTCTTTGGAGAAACATTTTCAAAACATTGTATTTTGGCATTAATCTTTTTCTCAATTAAAAAAGATAAGATATGCATTATCTGTTTTTACAAGTCTCTTAAATGACTTTCCAGAAAAACCAGCAACTGCCTAAAATGAGGGGACACAAAGATTTCAATTGATGACCTTGTGAGGCCCTTCCCAACTGGAATTATCCCAGCGACCCTATTTGCCTGTTGAACACATGGCACAATTAACTGTCTAACCAGGCTCCAGCATTTCCAGAGAGGCCACACTTAGACAAAACAAAGATATGATTCCCTAGAAAAGACACACTGATTGAGCACTGATGGCATGAACAGCCAAAGCATGTCTTGCAAAATAGTGTATAATCTATGTTTTGAATTAGATGCCAAATCACTACAAAGTACTTTTAACAAGAAGTGAGCAAGTGGTATTCCTTTTTTAAACCAGTCTCCCAAATAATAGGCAAGTGCTTATTATTAACCCTAATAGTATGCCCTGTCAGTTTTGAACAGAATCCTATCTTTAAACTCTAATGTAACCTACCAAGAAATCTTCCCAATATAATGGTCATTAAAGGATTTCCATGGAAATATTTTACTCAGCCTTTAGTAGCATTCATTTATCCTTTTCCAGTTTTGTCAATTCTGTAAAAAATATGCTTATCAAAATGTAAATCTATTAAGGTCCTCTGAATTTCAAGAGGAATTCTTTACGTAGAAAGGCAGAAAAATGAATAAGCCATAGCTGAAATACAAAAGGCAAAAAAATCTGACTTACTAACAGAATTTCCAGAGGAAAAAAAATATTATGCTACACTTGCCCTTAATAAAATTAAGCACTCTTGGTGTCAAGAACAGTCAAAAACAGAAGGCAATTTTCATAGAAGAGTTACTCTTTGTATACCTTATGGGACATAAGGCATACAAGAGCTGCCAATTTGTCCTGAATGTTCACAAAATTCTGCTCTGCTACAACTTAAAAAAGCATGCAAATAGAAGCAGCTTCATCAAATAACATGTAGAATTAATGTAAGCTATAACATGAAAAAATATGTCACCGCTAAACTAAATTAAATTAGAAGTGTTTTAACTGAGTTAGACAAACACCTGAAGGGACAGCAAATCACCACAGCAAGATGATCTTTTCAAGATCTCCATCTCAAAGTCTGCATCTGTTCTCCAAATGCCATTGCGAATACTGCCTTTGCCTGTCTCAGTTCTTTAAAATCCTGTGAAGACCCTACAAAGGTATTTCCTAAATTAAACAAAAGATGATCACAAGCAGCACAAAGCAGCAAAGAGCAGGTTGCTTTCTGGGTCATGTAACACTTTCCCTTTGGTTTGTGACTAAAGCAAATACTGTCACAAATGAGTGGTTTGGCTACTTAAAGAAACACTGTCAAAGGTATCACCAAAGGCACGGTTTGATGTGAATTTGTGAAAATATGGCTTCACACAGTTTGGAGGCAACATTCACTCTTGTGAACTTGTGAGGAGTAAGTTCATTATTCACTGCACAGGTTAAGGCATACAAAGATCAAATTAGAATCAGTTTGCACTGATTTACACAGAAGCCAGGAATGCAGAAGGGGGTGAGGGTGCAAAGCAAATGGATGCCAAGATAAAGGTGCAAAAGGGTTTAGCAGCACTTAATCATGGAGTACTTTGACATTGACAAAGCAATTCCATAGGGCTGGCTGTAGTGGTAACAATGAGTTAATGGTAGATTTGAGGCAGTACCATTCATACCATGATCAGTACACACACACAGGTACACAATGTGAACACCTAATTCCCTGAGCCTAAAGGAACTCATCAACAAATTCCACTCAGGGTGAAACGCTCCCAGCAAGTCCCTTTGCATTTCCCAACCGACAAGGGTCACACCTCAGGAAGTGTGGAGAGGTGTGTGGGAGCTCTGACACCAGGAACAGTCCCTGAGTATGACAAAGGTGAGGATTTGGGAGCTCCGAGCAGTGTCCCACTCCAGGGAGGTGCTGGCACAGCTGCTGAGCCCCAGGAGAGCTCACAGGGCCTCACTCAGGATTGCTGGCTACAGGGCCACAGGAGGACTGACTTCAGCCAGCAGGAAGGGTCCCCCTGGCCACAACCCAACCCAGTAACTCCTGGGCTTTCTTTCCCAAAATGTAGGAGCAATGGTGCCCCTCCACCTGGGCTATGATTCAGGTAAACAGTTGACCAAGGCTTCAAAGGATAATTGTTTACCCTTTGCTTCCCACCTTGTTTGGGCATGTGATGTTTCTGATTGGATGCACCACCACAAATACATATTATTTACAAACTATCCTAGGAAGATATAATTCCATTCAATTATTCTTTCATTCTGAGTTTCTTCTACATTTTAATAAAATTCAATGATCCAACAACTGGATATTGCAGTCTGCCTTCAAAAGGCCTGTTTTCAGCATACAAAACCAGGCAATTAAAAAAAAAAATTACTTGTTAGTAGCTAGGGTAAACTCTGGGCATTCTCTCATTCCACAGGCACCCTGAGACAATGTGATAACAGATTAACATGCTGCACGTGTCAAACGAAAATATTCTACAGCTTTTGCAGCTTTCTAGACTTATGAGGCAAGCACTGATTCAGGAAGCCATACAGCATTAGTCTAAGCATGTGGGTGATGCATTAATACCCACAGCCCCATCAAAAAAGGGGGCCAAAAGAACCCTGAACTAGCACAGGCATGGAAGCAGTTCTCAAGGTATTGAGCAGTAAAACTGAGAACAATTCAAAGCAATTTTGCAAACAACTCTTCACTTTATGAAATGCAAGAAACAAATGAGGCATTATTTAGCCAGAGGGAAGCTGCAGAATTACCTCCATGATCAAACCAACAGCCCCCCAAGCATTGGTTATTTAGCAGGACATTTGAATATCTCAATGGTTCTGCTGTTTTGAGGCAGCTCTGTCCTTTATGTCTCATAACCAGTTTTCATTTGGTTGGGTGGGAGACACCAGATGTTATATAGCCTTTTTGGGAACTCTATGTCAGTAGCACCCAGCTACTATGCCCTCCAATGTGGGGTGTGTGCAGCCAATCCACCAGGGTGCATGAAGGAAATATTGGAACTTCAGCAATGCACATTCAGAATTGGTAAATATACATATACACATTTGCAAAGCATAACAGGATCCAAGCAATGCTGTTGGATGAGAAATATGTCACTATTAGATAAGAACCTCCACTTTAAGACTACAAAATGTTAAGAGCACAAAAAATTCCCCCAAACCACTTAAGCTGACAATAATTTAGCCTTGTTGTTAGGCACTGGCAAAGCAAATTAAACTTCATGCATAACACTGATTGCAACAGAGCAAAGCTTGCCCTGAGATTACTTCTGACTGAAGTGTTACATTGAGCTGAACACTGGTGATTCAAATCAGGTTACACTGAAATGGCACAACTGTGTACATGCACACAAAAACCTAGCTAGCAAAACCTTAACACATGCCACTGCAACCTCTTAGCCCCCATTTCATCTGAAAGTTCAGTGAACTGTTAATAAAAGGATAGCTGAAAAGAAAAATACTTACGAAATTGCAACATTGCTTCCATCAATAATTATATGTTTTAAATATGGTTTTCCAGGCTCATTTATCAACTCCAGTTTGTATGGCTTCTTCAGAGAGTCCAAAAATCTTTGAACTCCAGTAACTGAATGATCTGGATGTGGTCCCATTGTGTCTCTGTCTGGATTTGAAGGGTGTTTTTGTGAAGACAGTAACCGGTCTGGGCCAGGATTGTCACAATGCGAGGTTTGGGAAAGGCGCTGGTGGAGAGGCCTGGCTTGGGAGGAGCTGCAGTGTCCCAGCTGCTCCTCAGAACCAGGCTGGCTGTTCTGTACAGTTGAGGGCCCTGCAGTTTTTTGCTGAAATGCAGTTTTACTCTTACTTGAGATTTGCTGCACATCTGAGCTCCCCCTGGCTACAAAGCCAACATCTTTTAGAGCTCTGGCGTGCACAGTGCTGGAAGTCACCCCACTGTCAGTTTCTACACTGCTTAACCTTGGATTCTGATTCTTACCAGGGCCATAAACATCTCTCTGTTTATAGCACACAACTGAATTTTTGCTGGGAGGAGGAGAAGATTTGCATACCAATCTATGCATTTTATCTTCTGCACCAACTTGTGTGTCTGAAGCACCTCTCACTTGGTGATATTCATTTTTTGTCTCCTTTGAAGTATGGCTGGATTTAAGTGGACTTTTATTCCCAGAAACGCCTTTGTCTTCTAGCTTTTGTGAATTATTTACATTATTTCCTAAAGGAAGACTTACAGTTCTTACAGGCTTTTGAGACGACTGCTCATGCTCTTTTTTAAACTTCAAATTTTCCTTTTCAATTTCTTCTAGCAGTAGTAACGGTTCCGTAGATTGTCCTAGGATACCGATAACCTTTTCTACAATATTTTGGGAATATCCCATGGTTCTGAAAAAGTTCACAAGAATCTTATATTCCATTTCCTCAGTGAGAGCATCACCTTCTTTAAGGCAGTAAGTAGGACCATCTGATTCAATGCAGCTATCCAAAACCAGATCAATAACTGCATCAGGGTCTGAAGGATTCTTGTGTAAAGCAGATTTCACTTGTGGATCCTTTTCCAAAGAGAAATGCTTTTTAGGGAGCCTTTCCTCCTCATCAGAGGACCTTCTTTTACATGACTGCCTCTCTTTAAAAGCCACTGCCTCTAACAGAGGGTCCTTTATGGGAACAAATCTTGTTTCAGAAGCATCAGAAAGCACAGTGTCCATTTGTTTGGTCAGCTCAGTTATAGGTGTGCCAGCATTGCTTCTTGCTTCCTCCCCACCTGCCCTTCCGTCTCTGTTTGCAGCAATGACTCTGGAGGTGCTGTTCTGTCCAAGTTGCTGTGGGCTGTCAGAGCCTGTGAGGTCTATGATATCAGTCTTCTCTTCACAAACAGCAGTTTGGGTGAGAGCCAGGAGCTCTCTTTTTAGTGCACTAGGCAAAATCAGTAAATCCATTGTATACTTATCTGCATGTGCTTCCACAAATTGTCTGAACTGCTTTTTAATCTCTGATTCATTGTCATTTAATAAACTTTCATTATTCTCAAAAAGCTTCACAAACTGCTGCACATGACTTTGTGCCATAACAACAGCTTCTGCACCCCCCTTAATACTGAGCAATCCCATTTCCAGCACTGTTACATCAGCACAGGTATCCTGAATAAGGCTGTTGAGAAACAGGCTCTGTGCACCAACGAAGATGCAGTGCATGTCCTTTGGGTAGTACTCCTTTTCTTCTAGCTCAGGTTCACACACTCCCTTGATGTACTCCTAAGGGGAGAAAGAGAGCAGAGTGAATAATTGTGAAATACCAACATATCCAATTGGTTTTTCCTAGGTCAGTAATGGACAGAAACATTAGAAAACAAAGCAAACTTAGCATAAGTCATGTCAGAAAGTAAACACTACCAGTAAACAGGACAATAGAAATAAAACACCAATATCTAAAATTATTTTTAAATAGATCTCACAGAAGGCTCTTTTATATTTTCTTGTTTATACCTGATAGTAACAGGTAACAAAATTTGTAGACCAAACAGTTTAAGAGACTGTCAGAAGATATTTATTTTCCTATCCCTACTCTTTGGTCAAAGAGAACTCTTTGTGAATAAATGCCTTTCACTAGAGTTCTACCTAGTCCATAAACCTGAACTTCCAAAAAGTTTCGAAGTACATCTCCTAAGGCTTACAATGTCAGCAGCCATCCTATGTTTTTGTTACTGACAGAAAACTCCAGGCTCCAGACACTTCTGTGTTCCTCAAGTTCAAGATTTTCCAAACACAAAAGAAAAAAAAAAACAAAACAAAACAACAGCAACAAAAAAAAAATCATCCCAATGCTATTTCTGCCATCTGTAAACTACTACAGGTAAAGGTAAATTCACTATACTACCTTCTAGTAGTTTTAAATGTGTCAAGAGTTCAAAACTCAGTCAATATAGTATATTATTTATTCTTTCAGATAGTATTATTTTTCCCAAACTGCCTCCTTCTGTTGAAGGAACACGTTGAGGAACACGTGTATGACACAGGTAAGGAATCAAGTTTTTGTCTGAAATCAGTCACAAAACACATGCTCCGGATGGATCTGCCCAACGCCCATACATCGAGATTTTGGGTCGGAAAGGCACCTTCAGCCCAGCTACTGCTCACATCAAACTTCTCATCACAACAGCTGTACTTGCCAGGCTCATTATGAGTAATATCAATTTCAGCATCACTGCTGAGAAACTCCCCCCAAAGTTTAGTTGTGCGTTTAACACGCGTGAAGCCACTACAGCAACTGCTGCCCCCTCTGAGACACAACCCGCACAGACAGTTCTCTTAACTCATCACAGCTGGGTTGAAAAGAGAACTATCTGCTCCAGCCTGGTGAAACTGTTCAGATCTGACCACTTTTCTACGAAGGAAATAATAAATGCTTTAAGCTTTAGTGAGAGCTTTGCCAACGAGCCGCTAAATGCCACAGAATAAGCGAAGTCCGTATGGCAAAACATGGCAACGCCCAAACAACTCCGAGGAATTTCTTGTCTCCGGGAGGAAGAAGGAAAGCGAAACATTTTAATCTGGCTTTAAAACAAACCTCGGCCCATCCCCAGTGGCGCTCCCCCTCAGCTGCGGGCTGGGCTATTTCATAACGCACTGTCCGTGAACTTCGCTCTTCCCAGCTGAGTTGTTTCGCTTTATTCCCTGCGCTTATGTCAACACGGCGGGAGACTCCCTGGCACCGGGCACACACCCACCTGCCAAGGCAGCGCCGTTTCTGTTTCCTCCTGGGGCACTCGGCTTTTCCCCACCCCTTCTTCCTCCAAGCAGCGGGCCCGGCCGTGCCGGTCCGGCGGGCCCCTCCGCACGCCAGCCCCGCAGCCCCGGCCCCAGCGCCCCGCCGGGCCCCGTACCTTGGCGCTGCTCACGGCCTTCGTGCAGCCCGCCAGCTGCACCCAGATCCTGGCGCTGGCGTTGGGCGGCTGCAGCGCGGGCCGCCAGTCCCCCTGCGCCCCCAGCACGGCCAGCCGCACCTCGAACAAGCCCTCGATGCGGTCCCGGCTGCGCTCCAAGAGGCGGCTCTTCTCGGCGGGGACGGTGAACTCATCCACCCTGGGCTCCGGCGCGGAGCCGTGCGGTGTCCGGCGGGCCGCCATCAGCGCGGGGCGCGCAATCCCATCACACCGGGAACAGCGACACCGGGAAACGCCGCACCGACCGCCCGCGTCATCGGCCCGCGACGGCGCCTGGCAGCGCCCGCCCGCAGCCGCGCCGCCATGGTTAGCACCGGCGGCCTGGCCCCGCCCCGCCTAGCCCCTCCCCTCCGCGGTGTGGGCGGGGCCGCACCGCCCCCTGAGGGCCGCGGGGCGGGGCCACGGCGGGACAGGATGCCCGCTCCGGCCGTCCCGGGGCACGCGGCACAGCACCGCGCCCAGGCCGGGCTGCCCCGGGGCACCGCGCCCAGGCCGGCTGGGGCAGCTCCACACTGCACAGCCTCTCTGGACAACTGTTCCAGTGCGCAGCCACTGCACAGGACAGAAATTCTTCCTCATATTCAGGCGGAACTTCCTGTGCATCAGACCACCGAGCAGAGCCTGGTCCGTCCTCCTGGCACCCCCTCTTTAGATATTTGTACACATTAATCAGGTCCCCTCTCAGTCGCCTCTTCCCGAGGCTGAACAGGCCCAGCTCCCTCAGCCCTTCCCCGTAAGAGATGCTCCAGTCCCTTGAGCAGCTTTGTCACCCTCTGCAGGACCGCTTCAGGAGCTGCTTTGGCTTCGGCCTCCATTCTCCACCGGCTCCCGCCTCTACTGCTGAGGAGCCCGGAACCGCACAGAGCCCTCACGGCAGGGCCTCCCTGTCCCCGCCTCCCGAACACTCTCTCCCCGCCTCCCGGGCCCCCCGTCCCCGCCTCCCGGTTGTTCCCCGCCCCTCGGCTCCTCTCGTCCCTTTCTGTGTGTCCCGGGGGAATGTGGGCTCTCCTCGCAGCCCTCATCGCCCTTGCCGCCCCGCACAGCCCCACGGAGGGGCCGCTCCCCGCCCCGCGGCCACAGCCAGAGGCTCCCGCCCGCCCGGCGGGGAAACCTTGGTGTGACACACTCTTGGCTCAGGCAGCTCTGCTATTGCCTACTTGGATTTAATTTAAAAATAAATGCAAGCTTTATCCCTTCTGATGGCAGGGGACGGGAGTGTAGCTCCCATCCCCAGATATTTAGCTCTGATAGCTGGGAAAATAGAGAGGACACATTTTTACTTAGCGCCCCCCACCCCATCCCCAAGGTGTTAAAGAGACCTGAAAGATGAGATTAGGTCTTAAAAAGTATTTCTGGGACTGCTGTTGATTTTTAAGTGCCTGGAGCTGCCAATTCAGACCAGCTGTTGTACAAAGGAGTAAATGTCTCCTTTCATACCCTCCCAAACACAGGTTAGTGTCTTCCAAGTTCCCCTTGGAACTATTTGATTCCTGCTTCTTTTGGCCATCTCTTTAGCATCACTGAAGTTAGATTTTTAGCAGCTGTTCATTAAATACAGCCTTCAGAAGGAGAATATATATTGTTGTGCATTTAAATGTACATATTTTGTTTTAATCTACTTGTATGTTTAACCAGGAAAGGGTTAATACAGAAATATGAAATATCATTTTTATAAAGCCACTTGTATCCCTATTAGAACTTTTTAAGCAAATGACAGTTTGCAGTTCTTGGCCCATAGGAAAATCTCACTAAAAGCTTATATCCAAATACTTCTATATACACTTTCTAATCTGAATTTGAAGTCATTCTTTGAGCCAAATAAAATATTTGTCTGTGACACTGGTAAAATGAAAAAAAAATAAATCTGTGTACACAGGCTGCATTTGCACACTAACACTCATTCTGCACAGGATGGTTTTGACAGGGAGTGTCATATTTAAGAAAGATGCTTCCCGAAGACAATATTTTCTTTTTCCTGTTTTTGTTGTTTAGACATTTGCATTTTGCTTTCCCGTAGAATTATGCTCCAAGGTTCAAACATGCAATCTACCATTTAGGGAGGCAATTTCTGAGGTGATTGGTGCCATCCACTGTTAAAACGCAGACACTGCAGCCAACGTTTCTTTTAGCTATTATTACTTAAAAACGATATTTTAAGCAAGGAACTTCAAATAAAAATGAAATTTCCAGCATTTTGTGACACAAAATATCATTCAAAGGCAGAAAGAAAATTTATTTTCATCAACACAATCTTTTGGAATCTCTCATATAAAAGAAGGCTCATTGACTTCTAAATGATATGGATAATGCTTGGGGCTTTGGGTATTTTCTTGTCTGTTTTGCCATGCTGTATGTTATAAAGCACGGTTTCACTGCTGAATTTATTGTATGAGTATAATTCTAGATATATTCCTGATAAATCTGTATTCAAATGCATTACAGTGCTCTGAGGCTGCTCTCAGGGAGGTCACTATGAGTGAGAGCTGCTGTGGTTCTGTGGCCCAGCCTGCTGAGATTAGGTAGTACCTGACATTGTGACATTCAAGACAAATACAACCCTTTTGAGGTGGAGAAAAAGGTGCTATGGAAAAGGTTTACTAATGGTTATATACCTGGGACCATTATTAAAACAAATTGGAACTTTCTTCCTCACATTGTTGTGATACAGACTAGAAAAATGATAATATTTTAACCTATTTTTTTGTTTGTTTTGGAACTGCAGTCTCAACTTAATCTTCCTCATACTTAGGAGGAATTTCAAGCCTCTTGCCATAAGCACAGATGCAGGTGAACAAACCCTATATGTGAGCTAGGATGAGAACACTGGAAATTCTCTGACATTTACAATAAGCTGCTTACAAAGTGGATTTGTTGAGAAAGAATGATTTTGTTTTCCTCCTATGGGAGGAATTTATTTTGCAGTAAATTATCCAAAGAGGCAGACTCTGTTTAATTGCAGGGGAAGTTTCGCTTTCCTGGATCTTTGGTTGTATCTTGTAAGTTTATTTTAGAGATGGAAAAGTACAATATTTTGCTGGTAGCAGTTGAAGGAATTTGACACACCCAGTGCCTGGTCTTGCTTTTTGGCTTGGCACACCTGCAGGATGTATTAGAGATTTTCCTGAATGTGAGCTGATACCAAGTTTATTATTTGCATTACTGTTGGGGAAATACTGTAATGGTGATGTGTAAATACGTGTGGGGTTTTTTTGATGTTTCACCATAGCTTGCTTCAGCTGCCTGGTGCAACTGCTTGCTCTTTGTTAGAATTTCTGCAATTGAAAATTGGTTGTGTGAGTGACTTTATGAAACTGGACCTTCCTGAGTAGTTTGGTTTTGGGCTGCATGCTTGAAACAGGAGCTGGACTGGTTGAAACAATAAGGAAAACAAATTTCCAAACTGTTTTTCAGACCTGTGCTGGGTAAATGAGCTATGGAGTCTATGAATGAATGCACTTTTACAGATGGTGCTCTGATCATCAGTATTATGGTCTTCAGTGGGCTTATTTGCATGCATAAATTTAAATATTTGTTTGCAGGATGTGGGCTTTAAATACTAGGGTATAGGAAGTATCCTGCATTCATATGAATAGCAAAAGCTTTAATTTGCAGTCTTAGCACAAATAGTAGCATATTCCAAGAGAGATACCTCAAATAAATTCTATGTGTTTCAGAAGGAAATATACAGAAATTATGTGACTAGAGCCCTCAAGTTTTGTGTATAATATAGCCTTAAAACTTAAGGCAATGCCAAATTCTCATTAGGAAATTGTGTATTTTTAAACTAAATTTCTTTTGGGTTTTTTGTTGCTTACAGAACTACAGAGAAAAAAGCCAAAAATGGTTTGAAATGGAATTATTTAAGATGCTTCATAGAGACAAATTTTTACATCTTGTTCAAGTCCCCAGTTATAGTTATGGTGTGACAGACATTTATGTGGGCTTGAAGCCCTGGTGACTAAGAAGGTGATGAAGGTTTCCCTTTTGGAGAATTTATTGCAATGCTGCCATCTTAATGAACCTTTAGATCATCAAGTTTCATCTCAAGAAGCCAACTTTTTGAAAATGAACCAAGATATAGGTTCTGTAATTAGTAGTTTCTATACCTGAAACTTATTCGATCCCTCAATTTTAGAATTAATTACTTCCCTTTATTCCAATTTCCTTTCAAAACAACCTGTTGTAAATAATTCTTTATAAAAGGAGGAAAAGACAAAAGTACTGCAATTACACATGCATCAGTTATTGAAAGCAGGTAGTATTTTTTTTCAAGTACTGGACTCTGCATTTGGGGATTTTTTGAGGCTTTTTGAGTGTGTTGGCTCAAGTTTCTTAATTAGTTACAAAAAGCTGCAGGTGTATTGGCAAAGACTCTTATTTAGCCTGGGAAATGTTCCAGGAGACAGTTTTGTGGGGCTTTTTCCTAATGTAAATATTTAGCTCTATTATTACCTGTAATTTTAAAGGTTCCACACTGTGTGGCTGCTGTGTCACACAGTAAACATTGCAGCTTCACTGGGATGACTGACAGAACGAATGAGAACCTGAGAGTACAATCTTTGCTGCGAGAGGGGATTGAACAGTTCTGAACAACTTGCAGAAATGCCAGCTGGTGCCTGAAGGGGTGGCAGCACCATGCAGCTGCCTCTGAGCAGGGCAGAAAGTGAGCCATGCTCAGGTGCCACTCGAACTTAGTTTAAAATAGAGTACTTTGTCAAAGTTTCTGCAAACTACAAAAATTTAAAGCAGCATTCTTGCTAATCTTGCTAAAATCTAGGGATTTCAAAAAAGCTCTTTCAAATAATTTTTATAGGTTATCAAAAGTGAGACTCTTGAGCGTCATTAAGTTTTTATGACTCTTGCAGCCAAGCGTTTGGGTTTTTTAAAAATTTTCATAAACATTTTCCTACTACTCTGACTACTGGAATTTAATTTTATTTTTTTTTCTGTAAAGCACTAGGTATGGTTAAGTGCTGAGCAATGAGCTTGCATTGCAATGTGCTGTACCTGTTAGGTGGCTGACTGCTGACAGGATAGGACCTTACAGCTGAGTTCTGGGAGGTTCACTTCAGTTTCAGCGTGGGTGGGAAGTTGCACCAGTAATTGAAGGTACAAGGGGTGCAATGAGCTTTGAAGATGTGCTTACAATGGCTTTTTAATGTTTTAAAAGCTGCAGTCTGTAGTAAGCCTTACTGTGGGTGATGTGCTTTTTGTTGTGCTATTTGTGCAAAGCAGGTGAGAATGGGTATAGAGACATCTATGGCTGAATGATGTCAGTTTGCAGA